AAAATGGCATTGACCCAAAATGCCTGGGGACCAAGAGTAGGTCACACACTCTGCTCGAGAAACTCACTGGATAATTCTAAGAAGAGAGATCCCTCCACTCCCTCATCTACATGAGCCCGACAATGTAAAAATGAATCATAACTGGAGAATGAAAAAGTATCAAAACAAAACAAAGAATCAAAACTAGAAGGAACAGCAGAGACCTCGTTCAATTCCCTCATTTCATCCATGAAGAAACGAAGGTACTCATGGGAGGGGCCACTTGCCTCACAGCACAGAGCAAGTCAACGGCAGAACCAAAACTGTAACCTAGGTCTCCTGGTTGATACCCCCAATGCTTTGTCCACTAAAGCCCAATTGCTTCATGGTTCTCAAATGCTACAGAAAATGACCATGGGGCACAGCTTAACCAAGAGCTTAAGCTAAATCAAGGGACTAAACCAAGGGTGAAAAACAAGGGATGCAAGTGGCCAAATGGATTCAGTTTTGAAAAGCACAGCAGGATGAATGCATAGAAGCGGAAGCGAGAGGAGAGATCTGGGCAGACATATACTAATGCACTAATCATGCGCCTTAGTTTCATTTTCTTTCAATTATCTGAATAAAAATGGGTTTCATTGTCTTCAGTTATCTGAATTTTCTACTTTTTTACAATAACTACATATTGCCTTTGAAATAAACGTTAAGAGTTTGCTTGGTGACTTTCTTTGTGGTGTGATGGATCTAACAACGGCAGTATGATATAGAACAAGTATGATGGAACTGGAAGTCAGACAAACGTGGGTCCCCACAGCAGCTCCGCCACTTACCAATGGTGGGACCTTGGGCACATTAGCGAACCTAGCTGAGCCTCTGTTCCCTCATATGTGGCATTATGATAATGGCAACCTTGCAAATGTGTAAGGTTTTAATGCAGGAAAAGAACACAACAGAATGCGTGGCACATAACAGATACATAATAAAATGGTAAATAGCATTTGAACCACATTTGCATCTGTGATTACATCCTAAACCATTAAACTGTGCCTCTGCCCTTGAAAAGATGTCATTTCACTTCATGCTCATGTCACTTGTGTGTACTAGTATAATTAACAGGACAACTGAATAGTAGCTGGTTTTCTGGGTTCTGAAAGAAGATAAGCACAAACATGGAGAATAGCTTTGCCACCATCCAGTGAGTCTCTTGAGTGCTTTGACTAACTGAAGCAGGTTGCCAGCTATCAAGAGCAAGTAAGTAGCACCACAATATGAAATGGGATTCAAATCTTTTTTATTTTTTTGAAGAGCCTGCTTTCATCAAGAATAAAAACTTTTTGAGAGTGATACAGGGATCTCAGCACTGTCGTTTCACTGCTCCTTTCCACCAAGTGCTTCAAGTACAGGGTAGGGTAGAAATAACTCTGGCTTGGGAATAAGATTATCCGTCCCCCCGCCCCCCGGCTCTGTAATTACATAGCTGTGACATAAGGAAGTCATTTCACCTCTATGGATCTTACTTTCCCTTCTGTAAAATGGGATGCTTAAGCCAGATGAATTTCAGCTTTAAAATCCTGTGGTCTTATTCCCACACATTTTCAAGGCCTCCTGTAGTCAGAGCCCAAGCTCTTACGGCACACATTACCCTCTCAGCAGGAGGCTCCATCTGCTCTGGCCAAATGATCTCTAGGCTCATTCGCAGTTTCTCCTCTACCTTGCTCTTCAGCGCATGTGGGGTGTTGGGCTCTCCCTTCCACTTACCCCATTCTTGCTGTCCTTGCAGTCTCAACACAAGCCTCACCCACTATATGATGTTTTCTCTGACCATCTCAGTCTTTCCCAACCTCATTATCCTTTTGGATAGATATTGTTTACTGTGTCTTTACAATACATTCTGGACTAGACTGAGAAATGCATGGACAGCAGAGCTCCAAGTCTGATACCATTTCCATACCACCCAACATAATGCTACACATTCTGAACCTTCCTTTGCCCTTTTGTAAAAGAGATACCACCGCCACCTATCTCCTAGAGTTGCTGGGAAGAATAAATGAGGTATTACTGTAAAAATGTCCAGCATGTTGACTAGAATCAATTAAGAACTGAAATATTAATTTCCTCCTTACCTCCCTCTATCTGGTGGCTAGTCTTCCCACAAGGTGGTCTACTGAGAAATGTACTCATTTGGGAGATGGATGTCTAGACTGTGCTAGCAGCCTAAGCGGACCTTGGGCAAGTCACGATTTCTCTACAGCTTAGATTTCTTCCAATGATGATAACAGCACTTGTTCTCATCTTTTATGACAGAAGGATAAAATGAGATAACACATGAGAAAGCACTTTCTTTTGAAGAGCTACCAGCATTATTATTTTTCATAAGTCCTAGTTTCAGAAAAAAAAACCTTAAAACAACAGAAGAGACAGCAAGATGCCAATGTTAATGGGTGATTTGATGACGACTGTGAAAATCCCACTCTTGATATAGACTAGAAATGTCAGAAAGTTGTATTTACTGTTCCTTGAGGTAGAAAAGCACAGATACTGAAAAGGTTAGGTAGCTTTCTTTTTTGAACATAATCACCCCGGGCATTACTCATCTCCCATGCCGACATATTTTCTAAGTCAAACAATATCATAAATACCTCTGCGGGGCATTGTGGGCCTCAGAATCTGGGCATATCCATTTGACAGTGCTAACTGCGAGCTAATAAAAAGCAGTGACGTTAGAACCTTTGTATTTTTTTGTAAACAAACTTAATTATTATTATCTCTTCTGCAGTGAAGTATGCCACAGTTAGAAGTGGGGCAACAGAAGAGAAAAAATATAGTCCCCCAACTAAGTTGATTTTTTTGTATCAATAAAAGTTATCAATGCTTACAGGGTGCATAATACAACACAATGTAAAAAAGAACCATTGTATACAATAAAGATTAAAATATATCCATAAAGAGACATTTCTGTCCCAAATTGTTTTGTGAAAAAAAAAAAAATGAGGAACACGATTAGGGGAGGGTAATTTGGAGAGAAGTATTTTAGAAGAAAGATGTTTTTCTAACAAAATAAAGACATCAGCCGTTACTGGTGACAAAACAGATTTTAGCACTATAACTTAAGGACACTGTTTTTCTTCCATTTCAGAATGTAATCACCCAGACAGGTAGGTAAGTAAAGATGTGTGTGGGGCATGAGATAGGGAGTGTGTGTGTGTGTGTGTGTGTGTGTGTGTGTGTGTGTGTGTCTTGGGAGGGATTTAATCTCATTGCTTATTTCTTCTAATATTAGTTTATAAAGTCAATTAAGGAATACCTATCCAAAACAGATCACCACTCTTATCAAGAAGTCATGTAAAGATATATTCTTATTTTTCTTTGTTAAATACCTAGCGACATTTTAAAAACATTTCACCTTTATTAATTTGTATAAATATGCCCTTGCCATAATTTGTAATACATTTTATAAGCAACTGGAGGAGATTTCATGCATCACTAATTCATACATATAAATGTGAAGTTTGCATTAAACGTCTCTAAACAAAACCCTACTTCCTTGCTATTTTTAGAAGGAACAGGATAAAGAAGAGACAAGAAGACTCTCATTACAAAGGCTGACCCTCTTAAAATTAAGGCTATTCTGTTTTGAGCATCAACCTGCTACTAAAACAGCCCTGGTACCAGGATTTTAAAAGGCCCGAGTCTGGAAATACTACGATGGTTGATTGGCTTTAAAAAATAACATGTTAGAACCACAGAAAACAGTGATTATAAGTGGCTGGCAACATTCCAAAGCTGCTTTTTAGTACTCCTTTGCTTTTTAGTATTCTTTTAAACTCCTTTGGCTACCAGTTCTCATCTCACACCATTTTTAAGTTTATGCCAAATAAACCAGGACACTGCTACTACAGAGTGTAGAAAAGATCCAAGCAGTACACTACTCACATGCACTCTAAATCACTAAACTCTTTCAGGTCTGCCTCGTCTGGGTATACTAAAATATATGATAGAACCTTCCTGAAGATGGGCACATTGCATAGCTTTCTTGGAACAGATTATGCCACTTATTATTTATAATGATATTTTCTAAAACCTCTGTCGCTAAAAGTGGAACTTAACATTTATACAGTCTAATAGTTCAATTTTCCATGAAGACAACATTACGAATGGCCAGCAATCAAGTGAAAAAATAAATGATTGCAAAAACAATGCTTAAACTGTAAGACCTTCCTTGAAAATAAGATTAAGATGACTGTTTTGTCATTTTATTAACATTATTAGTAAATTATAGTTTTATAAGTTAAAAAAGCTCTTCTAAAATTGTTTTTAAAAATAAGCTATTGGCTTATTTAAAAATAAAAAAAAAAAAGACCCTCAGACTATTTTAATTATCTTCAAGTTCTGATATTCATACCACTTCAAGAAACAGTTAATCATAATGCAAATACTAAGGAAATGTTTAGATGATTTTTATTTTTTAGTCTAGAAATCTATTGAAAATGCTTATTTCCCCAGAGATACCATTCTTAGACACCTAAACAAAATGCAAGACACTATTTGGCAATGTGCTTTTTAAATAGCTGAACACCTTTAAACAAGTTGGGCCTATGCTGATTTAAATTTTAAGTTGAAGTCTAAGAAAAACAAAGTCTATATAATACTCGTAAGGCCATGGAGTTACACAATACTACTTGGTTAAGTCAAATATATTCCTATTTCAATAAAAATTAAATAGCACTGGATTAAATACCAACCATTCTTAATCATGGTTTGAGTCTGATAACCAAAATTAAAAATTTAATGTCATGCAAAATATATCTCACAAACTAACCAATGCAAAGCTCTAGGCTTTAAACTTTTTGATAGTGTCAATAAAATCCCCGGGAAAGGAGAATACTGCAACTCTCCTTGGAACATAGGTGTTTTAAATCATGGTTAAACAGACAGAATGTTAAGAATGGTATGGTTTTTATTTTCCATAGCAGGTTTATTGACACTTTTTTTTCTAGTAAAGTTTGAAAAGCTGACACTACCTGTCCACATAGAAGGGGAAACAAAACTTGGTCAAAGTCTGTAGAACTTCCTGTGGAGAGAAAGAGAGATAATTTATACATCTAATGGGACCAATAAATCTAACATTAACCATGGCACACAATCTAGCAACTTTACCCTAAAGAAAGAGGAGACAGATGAAGAAATATGGGCTTTATCAATTACATGGGAGGAGTACCAGGCAGTCAATCATGAGAAATAATAAACATGATCAAACTTCATTAAAAATGAAAAATTAATCAAGAATCACACATGGGCAAGCAGCAGGAGCCGTGCAGGAAAGCTCTGAAGGGAGGGAGGCGGGTGGGTTGCTGAGTGTTAACACCCCTCCAGGGACCATCTCCAGCCTGACCATATGGATCAGAGTGAATAACACCGAGCCACATGGGTTTGGCCTGGCAGGGCCGCTGTTGCTGGCACCGTTTTTGCCTGTTACCTAGGAACAGAGGGGGCCAGGATTAGACAACGCTTCCCAACATCAATAGGCCAAATCACAAGCAAAATAGAAAACCAACTGGAAGATAATTGTCCCCGAACATTGTCAACTACATTTTTTTAGAGTTTAAAACTTTATTTACTTACTTTATAAAGAAGCTGCCATTTCTGGCATGAATTTATTTTGTAATCAAACTATAACAATTTTAAGTGTGCAGTATTTTTAGTCATTATCATTAAACGTCATTATCAAAACGGAACACACTTACCTGCTTGTAATTTATAAAAATCCAAAGCAAACTACCAGTTTAAATGTCTTTTTACAAATATGTAGGTACATAAAACCAAGCACATTACTCAGGGGAAGTATACAAAAAGGGTCCAAAAAAAAACCCAGAGTGACATTTCAAAGACTTATTCATAAGAGAGAAACTTCTAACATTAAGAATACTATATGAGACACAACATACAGTGGTGTGTGACTTTTCCCAATAGATACATTTCACGTACACAGAATATATACAAACAGCAACACACAGACCCAAGTAATTAATCATTACTTCCTTCACAGAATTTTCTCTAACTTGACTTAATTTTAACTGCAGACTTGGACAGACCACAGTTGGTGCTTATCATAAGTTCATAGACCAATGTTATAAATTTTAAAAAAGTATTCCTTTCATGCATTTGATTTACTTTTTAACTATTTAAAATCCAACTTCAAGACAAAATGAAGAACACATTTTCCGGTCACTGAGAAGCTGGTTCAAATTAAAACAAACCTGCCCATTGCAAATCCTAATCCAAGTGATAAATTAAAGATCAGTTTACAAATGTAGCACTTTTCTAACCAATAATAATGAATTATCAATGCTAACTGAATTGATGCTTCTCGCTTCATTTATTTTTAAAACCAGTTCTATCACTCAAGAAATAAACCACATCAATCTAATAACCCACTCAATGAAGCAGAAAGCACACTGACTTTCTCTGCCAGAGCATGTTCTGCCTACATAATTCAATTGAGCATATCCTATTTTTTTAATATCATTTTGGGCTGGGTGTATATCACAGCACTGTTAAGGCATGTCATGATACAGTAAAGGAATAGAAAAGTGAAAAATGAAAAAGGGTGGGTAAGAATACTTCAGCATAACCTGAGGCATTACTGATACATTAATTAATTTCATAATGTGGCATATTCATAAGACCGTACACATACTGTTTTAAAACTCATAGTAAAATAAATTGCAATAGGTAATGGAGAATCAGAAGAACAATAGCAATTTTTCAATGCATAATGTTATTATCAGGCAAATATTGGCAAAGAGATCATACAACACATTCATTTTAATGTCTGCAGTTTTCATTATAAAATATATTATAAGCCCCATAAACAAAACTCTTAGGATTTACACAAAAAAAGAAATTCCTTACAAATTCCTTTCACATCAAGTTTCAAATACCACAGAGCATTGCTTGACTTTAGTTTATGTACCAAGCATTCTCTAAAACTCAGTCCCCAGTGCTCACTCATTGTGAACACCAGCTACAAAGACATTTATCCTTTACCCTTCAAAAGTTACAGGTGCAGACGTACTCCTCTACTCTATGCTGGAGTTGAGCTGACAAAAGCCCTCAAGATTTTTGAAAGAAAGGACCCCCATGGCTACAGCAGAGTCAGAGAAATCTAATATGCCCAACTTATTACTCACTACAATACAGAAACTACTTACCACTTTCTAATGTCAAGAGTAATAAGCAACCATGAACTTGTCTGTCAGATAATATTAGAACAAATATCAAAATACCCAGTGTAGGCTGAGTACAACCCACCTCCCAAGAGCTTTCCTTTTTACCCAAGAAAGCAGTGATAAGTCTAATTAAGCAATGGGGCAGGGGGATGGGGGGGAGGGAAGGGAATATAGGCAAATGTAGGCACATGTTTGTGCATTACAATATGTTTCTTCATGTTTGTGATATTGCAAGAGTTTGATATTCCAGTTTAAGTCAAACAGCACAGCAGTGTGCTGTCAGAGGAGAAAACAAAAATGAGCATTGCTCTGTGTTAGGCAAACTCACACATTATCTCAATCAGAACTGAAAAATCAAACTTCTCAGTTTGGGAAGGGGAGGACAGGAACAGGGAGGGGAAAACAAGTAATGTTTCCTGTAAATAAAAACTGCTGAAATAAACCAATTTTTCTTAATACTGATGTTTTCCCCATATATAAACAGGTAACTACCTTATCCTCTCTTTCCAAAGAAAAACACAATTACTTCAATATGAAAAGTACCACTCTCTGAGAGAGGGGACTTTAAAACACTGATTTAAACATATGTTGAGCATCACGCTTATAGCAGAGTGTCCCACAGTCTTTCAATATTAACTTTACTGGGAAAACAGTCACTAGCCAGTTACCAACCCATTTTTCTCTCTTGAACCTGTGTCTTTGGCTAGGGAACTTTCTTTGTAGAAAGTAATTCTCCTGTTTTCTTCTCTCTCTCTCTCCTCTCTCTCTCCTCTCTCTCTCTCTCTCTTTCTCCCTCCCTCCCTCCCTCGCCTACACAAGCTCTTTCAGACAACCAGCCTCAGTACAACCTCAACTGCCACGTAAATCATAAATCGGATCTTGGAGACGCAATACAGCTGATGAAATGTAAATGACCTCGTTGCTAAGGCAGGGGGTGGGGAAGATTGTGCCAGCTCTCCAGATCAATTCCCAAGTTTATATTTTCACAAATCTTTTTATGTACAGTTTGATTTTTTAACATTTTAATGAGCAAAAAGTGCATCTATAGTAGCCAGTCACCACAGTTAAAGTGCAGGGCATGAACTAGATCCCAGGAGGGAACCAGTCCACCATGTCACCACTGGCTTTAGGACATTTGCCACCTGGTTCCATGTCCCCAGGTTCCAACTCTTTTCATAATCAAAACACTGCTGACATTATAAACCCCAGACGGGTTTTCTAAAATCCCTCCCAATCAATATATCCAACACATAACTTATTGGAGACAACACTGAGCTCATTGATTAAGGTGAGTTCAGTAGCAAAGTTTTCAAAATAAATGAGACAAGAATACAGAATTCAACCCCTTTGTGTCACCAGACAATTTATGAAATAGGCAATTTCCAAAAGGGCTTTTCTTCCCAACACAATATACAATACTTCATGTGGGAATAAGTAAGAGCAGAAGGGGCAGGGGGGGAGCGTGGAGGGCAGGCAGTTGCACTAACCTTTCAGTTATGGGTACATTAAGCAGCAGATCGCACAGTGCAGTAGAAACGCAACAACATCTACAAAGCTCTGCCCACAAGGAGATACCAAATCTCAGAGTGTGAACCAAAATATGAAATCAACAACCCTAACACTGGATTCATGTGCAAGTGAAAATCAGAAATGAATTCAAGTTTCATCTCAGTCTTCTTTGGATTCATTTCATCCAGTTTGAATTCTCATACAGTCAGAAGGCCCATCAAGGGACCTTATTCCAATCCGGACAAAGTTGATTATGTTCTAATGAAACCGAGCTATTCCCTTAAAAACCTGGTAAAATTTTACATTTATAATATTATCCATAATAGAATCCTATCTGGAGGCAAAACTTCGAAGACTAAATTTGATGTAGTTAACAAGGATTATTAATAATGAGAGGCTAAACCAATTCCCCCTGAATTTGGAGTGCGGGGTGGGAAGGTGTATGAGATACTGCAACAGCCATCAGTTCAGATGTCAAATACTTTGTTTTCATTACTTCATTGAAACCCATAAACAAAAATTAGTTGCATTTGGCAGATGAAAACAAATGACAGTCAAACACAGACATACGCACCCCACAAATAAATGCCATCTGAAAGACAAAAGTGCAGGCTGATTATAATGTCCACTGGGGTTACAGAATGTTGGGAGATGAGGCACATTCTCAGTAGTCCAAAAGGAAAAAGAAAATGTGTGCAGGAAAACATTTAAATAGAGCAAAGAGACTGCCTGAATAAATTAATGTATTTTAAAATATGTAAAGCTACAATCACCCTCTTTGGAAATTGCTGGTATAGTGGTCGATAATTCACCTTTGTCCAAAAAGGAGTGAAGGAGGAAGAAGCAGGAAGACAGTAGGAGAGCATTTCCTGAGTCTCTCATATCTAATTTATTTGTTCATTTCAGAATGTAGATGTGTGATGAAAAGATCTGTGGAGCCCAAATTCCTAAAATACTCTATTTCTATGTTTAAAAAAAAATTTTTAATAGCATGAGGTAAATGCTGACCCTCTAAGTCCTGCAAGTGAGATCAGTGCAACTGACTTGAAAGAAAAGGCTTTGATTGATGATCTCAAAACTCAAGTTGAAAGTTAAAAACAGAACACACACAAAATCCAAACATACAAAAAAGCTAGCAAAATTTCTACCTTAAGCCATTTCAAGTTAAAACCAGGGACTCCAAGTGAAAGCTAACAGAGGTTTTAATGCTTATGATTCAGAAGAGTAAAACAGAATGGTAAGAAGTTCTTAGAAGCTTAATTAGCACCAAGTTCAACAATGTTGACCAGAAATTTCCTAAATATGAAAACAGGAAATACAATTTTTCTCCTTC